TAAATTAGAATATCTAAATATTTCTCATTGCATAAATATTTGTGAACTATCAATTTGTAATATTATTTATTCTTGTCCAAAGCTCAAACAACTCGATCTTAGCTTTTGTAAAATTACTGATATAACGATTGAAGAGATTGCTAGTTTGTGTTTTAATTTAAAATATCTTAATCTGAAAGGGTGTTATAAAATTAATAAAGAAACTAAATCCAAATATCTACATAGAGAATTTTGTAAAAATTTTAATGCCTTCTGATCTTATTAGAGTAGTTAATAATCAAATTTTAGCTCAGGGCCTTCAGAGCCTTTTAGATCTAAGTATACAAGATAATCAGAATTCAGCTCTACATCAGATATATAGGCAATCTAATTTCAATACAATTGCGATAGTTTTAGATGACATACTAGCTGACCAATCTAGCTAGTACAGAGCAGTGATCATTAGTATTACATTACTTAATATATTGTATTTCACATTTTTTTCGTTTGAAGATGAAAGAATACTAGCCAATCAAGCAAAATGCTGGTATTCTACTGATTTAACTAATCTGGATCAGTGATCACCTCAAAAGATTTACTGCTAAGCTATGCACAGTGCCTTTAGCCAAATTATATAACAAAAATAAGTGAATCATCAATCAGGTCTTGTATGTTATATTAATTTTCGCATATATCAAAAGTTATGTATGCAAACTAATACCTTTATTTTTTCCTAAATAAATGTGAGAAAATGTGAAAGGAGATCTACATATGACACAGTACCTACCCTATAAGTTAATAGTAATAACAAAAGTATATGTTATAAAAGGTTGAGGACTTTAGAATTTTGAGATCACTAGGTGTAAAGTGAACTATATGTCTTTTTGATAAATCTACATGTGAAAAAGTATGAAGAATCTGCCCTTTTTTAAAATAGATTTTTTGAAAGAATAGTCAATCCAATAAGGCTAATCTTTTTTTCAAATCTAATAATATAAAGCATGTAGAAGTATGAGGAAGTTCAGCCAACTTTCTCATAAAAAATTAAGGTATGTATATGCTAAAAAGGATCCTTCCAGAATCAGTTATATATGTATAGAAGTGAGTTTTTCTCACTATAGGCTCTTATATTTAGAAAAGCAAGATGTCTAATAAGACTGAGGTACTTGATAAGTCTAAAATACCTGACAAATTTGAAAAGTTTCTCGCTGATAGGAATATTACTCTCAATAGTTTCATACCTAGCGAGGGAGTGAACGATATTTTTAGAGTAACAATATCTAACACTAATAATAATAGAGTTGTTTCTCTCACAGAAGCAATCAGAAACTCTCGTCTAGATTAATTTCAAGATATTGATTTGAGAAGATTAGTTTTATATAAAGTTGGGTTTGTAGCTGATAATGTTATAATCCACAACTTAAGAAATAACAACGTAGTTATAGTAGAGAGAACAGTACAAATAGCATCGCAAGACAAAATTTTTACTCATTTTTCTATACAACCTAACAAATTTATAGTGATAAAAGGGGAATCAATGTTATTATATATCCTTCTACTGAAATAGTGTCAGAGACGCTAAGGAAAGATAAATAGTATTTTTATTCATATCATATAAAAGTAATATATTTGCAATTTTATGTATTGTATGTCAGTTATCGGCAACATTTTTTTATTTCTCAAATAAAGCATATATTATTTTATCAAATATACAGACGATTCTTCACAGTTAAAGAGGCGCAGTAATTAAGTGATTATTGCATCTATGATGTAATGTAGCTGATCACACAGCAGGTCTGTGCAGAGTTCCTTTAGAACAAAATTCTTATCACACTTGCTCTACTTTCTGCCAATAACATTTCACAAAAAATATTATATAAGCTGTTATGTCTATCACTTTACTCTGCCTCGTCAAAGGAAATACACTCGCGAATGTTTTTCCTATTCACATAGATGGAAATAGTCTTATTGGTAACCTAAAGAATGTTATTAAGGCGAAAAAAATTAGAATTTAGAAATAGAAAATTTGTCATATATTGCAGGTTATATTCTGATCCTTTATATTTATTTTTGTATATATTAATAAAAAAATTTTTTGGTAAAAGTCTGTGAATTTTTTTCATGCAGTCACAATTTTTTATTTGAGTAATAGGATTTTATTACTTAAACATAACATAAATATAATAAATATATTGCTAACGTGAATAATGAATCATATTATATATACTACATTAAATGCTTTTAGAGAATTGTGGTTAGATGTAAATACATCTGTATGGGATATCTTAGATAGAAGAATTTATGAATTGCTTTTATGCTCAGAATGTCACAAACCTATTTTCATAAATTCGCAACAAAAAATATTACTATTCTTACAAATAGACATATGATTCATAGTGTTTGTCTTGAATGTTCTGCTACTAAAGCTGAAGAAAGAAATAATGTTTCTCAGATAAAGCTTTATAGGATACTAAACCCTCAAATCATAATTTTAATATAATTGAAGTGCCTATTATAAAAAAAGAAGTCTTAGAATCTATTTCTTATTTGAAAAATAGTACTTTACATAATAACTTACAAAATAACCTGAGATTGCGTTCTCAAAGAAATCACCCACCCTTGAAACCAGTTCTATTGAGAATGATTTAATATCTGACTTTAATATCAAACAGCAAACTCAAGACATTACTAATTTGTAGGATGTATATTCTATTAAAGATATTTCTTTTGAGAAAGCTTTATTGGAAGATAGAGATAGATGCTTTCTTGAATAGAGAATATAAGAAAAAGATTAGTAATGAAATCAGGCAAAGAAATAGGAAAAAAATCTTCAAGATTTAGATTTACCTGATACTTCTGATATCCTTTCATTTGAATTATCCACAAGTTTGCATCCTATCTCTAATAATCCTGTCTTATTAGAATAAAATGCTAAAATAAAAGCACCTGAAATAGATATACAGCCTTTGATACAAGAATTGCTTATAAAACTTTCAGAAGATTGCGTTAAAGTTGTTAATATGAAAGAGAATACTGCTATTGATCAATAGCTTACAATTGAATTAGCCTATTTATTTGAAAAAATGAAATTTGCTGAAATTAGGACTATACAAGCCAAACAAGATGAAATTATAAGCTGGTATTGCTATAGAAAGTATTTTGAAAAAAGACATAGTGAGATTTTATCTGGAATTCTAAAGAATAGACTTATTACAAATAAAAAAGCCTATGAATTTATGAGTGGATAGATTTATGATGAAATACTACAGTATCTTTTAGAAGTTTCTCGTGTAAACTTGCACAAAAAAATTCAGTTAACTAAGCCTATATATATATTATTTAGTGAAATTGAAAAAGATAAGATTATGTGAATCAAATCTTATAGTACAAATAAACTCTCAAAATTAACTGACATATAAATCGATACTATTAAAAATAATCTTATTACACAAAGTGAAAAAAATTCACGCATTCACGTGACTTCAGAAATGATCACTACTGCACCACTGAGCTTGGGTTATATGACTAGTGGAAAAATCGTAAATGCATCTCAAACTATACCAGCTGAAGTATCAGCATTCTCTTAACTAAATAAGAATATGCCAGACATCCCATATGATGCTTGTGCTCTCTATATAAATGTGTCTTTGAAAGAATATCTATACCTATCCTTATATAATAGTAATGAATGTAATGATGGATATAAATTTAAGAGTTCAGGTTTATGTTCTAGATGTGAAAAAGAGCATAATAAAAAAAAAAGTAATTAGCTGATACATAAAGAATTTTTACTACATTAAGTGTTAGTTCTCATCTAATGAAAAAGAAATCAAGATAAATGCTCTATCAGAAATGATTTCATTAGACATGTCTTTAGCAAATGTATCATCTACATTCTAATTTAAACCAACTTATAACCCTTTCTATTTTCGCAATAAGATATTAGATCAATATTCTAATTTATATAGAAAATGTAGTAGCGAAAATTTTGATTATTATGGGATTACTGATGAGACATCATGCAGGGTTTCGAGAGAGACCATCTGCCTATTATGCAAATTAGGTTATAATGATGAAGAAATAGAAGGTAGGTATAAAGCCAGATCTTACTTTATTAAATGTGAACAATGTGAAATTGAGATAATTGCATAATCCTGTTCACTTTATGAACAAGATGATCTAACTATTTTTTTGAAAGTATAATAAGAAATATTAGATAGCTTTCTATCTGAAAATTTTTAATCTTTTTTCAAATTGATAAGAAAAAAAGGATTTAAATTGATTTGTGATCATATAAAATAGCAACATAACCAAGTCTAATAAAATACTAACCCCTGAATATCTGAATTGGCATGTCAAATTAAGTGGGTTACCAAGCGTTTTGACAGATAAGATTTGTACCAATTTATACAAAAGATATAAAAAAGAAACTGGAAATGAGCCATGACAATCCATGATAAGTATATTAGAAAAACCTCGAATCTCTGATTTTAAGCCTATCACCTTTGAAACCAAATCTGATTCAGAGTTAATTGTTAAGTCCATCTTAAAGCATTTCATATATCTGAAATTCTGAAATAGTTTCAGAGGGTTTAATAATTATAATTTTGCATCACTGAGCTCACATGCCCTATTTGCAATAGAAAACATGGAAATTATGGATTACATGGCTATGGTATTACAAAAATGGGAATCGGCTCCCTTATGATCCTGAATTAGCAAAGTTGTATTCTCAAGATAAGTTGAAATATTGTCTTACCTGCAACACTTCAAGCAATAAACTCAGGTTCGCAATTGTAGCATAAAGCTTATCAAGCTAGTCCTGCACTTGTATTTATTTTTTCGTCGCTCATAAAGTCTGTGAAAAATCTTCACACTTATCACCTGATATGTAAGTAGTGACATCAGAGACTGTGACGATCTCAACTGATGAGTCAGATCAATCGGTGTGACAATCGATTTCTCGTATATATACCCCAAAAAAATTTTTCCATTCGTGTTACTCTTTCATTACAAAAGTTATGTCGTCTGAAGTGAAGAAATTGAATACTCCCGAAAAACTTAGTGGTTTTTTGAAAGGAGACTAAACGACATTGGTAAACACATAGATACTATCACCGTGAGTCAAGAAGTCGATGGTTCAACCTTCCTTGATTTTACTGCGACAGACTTCGAAAGATGGGGAATACCTGGTGGACCGGCCAAAAGAATCGAAAAGTTAATTAAAGACATTCAAGGAGGTAAGCGAATTTAATTCTTGCTCACGCCGTGTCATATTCGCTAATAAGACCGAATACTTACTTATTCTTGTGCTTTTCTTTCCTGCTTCAAACCCGCCCAAAAAACACATTCGCGTTATCGTAGAGCAACCGGTTGCTGGTAAGTGAGTCGTAATAATTTTGGTCAACGCGAGTGAGCGCGACCTAGCTTAACTCTACTTTATTCTGATAGCCACCCATCAACCTACTTCCGTGGAGAACCTTACGCTTGATCTTGGGCAACTGGTATTTTTTTTCGTGAATTATTGTAATTTTGATATGTTATACTCACAGGAGATTGTTCTAGAGCTTGTCAGGAGGTACTAGCAATACGAGCACAACATTTTCTAATTTATTTTCTGGTCTTGTGAGAACTGTGGAAGAAAACTCGAAACAAATAGGTTTGCTGATTCAAATTGAGCAAGCGAGGAATCGCGGACCTATTTTAGGAGAATATGAGATAGGAGGTACTGATTGTCAAAATGCAAGGTGTTCCGTTTTTTTCTTTTACTAATATCATATTCTACACACTCTAGGCTCTGTGACGCGTGCTAACGTTTACAAAAACACTATCTTTGAAAATGTTGATCAGGAATATTATCTTGTTGAGACTAATTCCTACCTTAGTGAACTCCCCAGTAACGTTGCTTCTCACCTGCGAAACATCCAATTACGCAACAATCTCATCAAACAGAAACGGCAGTTCAAAGATGGTTCAACAATTTGATGTCTCAATTTGGCTCAAGATGGGGTGATTTCGTCGCCAAAGGTACACATGATGTAGGGTATCTTAACGGACTAATGCCAGACCTTAGCGTTTTTAAGACGGAAGATGTTGCAGATAATGCTTGTATTCCCATGCTAGTTAAAACGATTCTGGAGTTAAAGGTACAAAAGAGAAGTACTGGCTTCTCTAATGAAGAAAAGGGACAGATAGTGGACTACCTTCGTGTTCTCACTCGACAACAACCGTTGCGCAAACTTTTTGCAATATTTTTGTCAGATGGAGCATACTTTTATGTCATGTCCTTTAATAGGAATATTAATCAGTATCAGGAGTTTAAAACCAACTTCAGGATAGGATTGCGACTTTTTTATACATTGATCCTTCGAGGATCAGATTATGTAAGAGCTTTCGGATCTAGGAGTGTAAACTTCCGGTCACAAATTTCTAGCACTCGTACAAAACTCATTGGAATACGCCTAGAGGAGTTTTTAGGCGAGGGATCATCTGCAAATGTATATAGGATCAGGTGGAATGATAGACCAGCCGTCATAAAAACAATTTCTGATCCAAATGTCTTAAAACGTGAGGTGGAAATGCTGAGATTTTTGAATGGTTCAAACATCCAGAACATTCCAGAATATGTCGCGCATGATGATAAAAATATTATTATTTACCCAGTTTGTAAGAGAGTTGACAAACGATTTCAGGCTAGTCACGCTAGAGGGCTCTTACAAGTTTTAGAAAGAATTCATTCATTGAAAATTTATCATCGAGATGTACGACCATCGAATATCATGTTAAATACTGAAAATAATTCACTCACCCTTATTGATTGGGGATCGGCAGTTCGTGATCCTACTGGCGAAGTAATTTATGAGAGAACATCCACATATGCTTCACCTGCCATTTTAAATAATGATATGGGACCTTACAATCCACAACCAGCAGATGACCTACATTCTTTCGTTCGTACAATATATGTTCTGCTTAATCCATTGAAGAAACCAAAAAATCTGAAATCAAACGAAGATATTATGAATTATTGGAATCTCCAACTAAATGGTCGTCCATTCTGGAACGATATGTTGACTGCAGCAGATGATGGTAATATTGAACAACTAAAGAGACTGTGTGATATTTTTTAAAACACATTTTTAAAAGAATTAGTTCGTGATGGGGGGGGGGGTTTTGCGATTTCATATTTTATTGCTATCTCTCAATGATTGTAATTTCTTTTCTAGATAATAGATAATCTGTAGAATACATCTGTAAATAATTAGCATTATCAAAATAATAAAATTTATGCGTTAGATTTACTGCACTAGTGTAACTGCTGTAGTGGATATTTTTATTTACTTTATTACACAGACGTTCGGAGGATCATATGATGTTGGTCCCAACCTCATGTGTCATCGATAATATAACACACGTCCGTTCCAATTTGGAACGCAGATTTTTGAGTAGTTATACTTCATGTGACATCGATGCTATTGAAGCATAGTTACTGCGCCATAGTCACGTGACTTCGCTGACCCGAAATCAAAATGCAAAAAAATAAATAGAGGCCTCAAAGAGGCGGGTTCACTTTCCTTTCGGCTATTTTTGCCTGCCGATGTATTAACCAGATGCGCTTTACATATGCTTATCAAATAAAGTTTTTCCTTATCGGGCTTTTCTCCTTTTTTTAATCTATATACTGTATGCTACATGCGAAATGATGTATAATTTGCATGATAGTCTGTATAAATTTTTACAGGGCCGATCATCTCGTGATTTAGCCAAAGGCGCTGTGCATAGAAACTCTGGAATTCTCCTAGAACTATCGAGGAACTGGTAGGGATCTAGGGTGGTGCATGTGATATGATATACGTCATACAAACCGATTTAGCCAGGCGTCGTGCATATGCATGTAAATATAAAATTAGCTTAGCCCGAGATATGACTCCTGATATGCTTGTAATCGAATAAAAATGAATCCGATATTTTATTATAATATAGTTGTTATAAATCACTATAAATCGATAAAAGACAGTGAAATTGCTATAAATCTCTTAACCAGTAAATCTGTATAAATTTGAATGTTGATATTGTCTAGTATAGGTTGGTTGATAAAGAATCAATATAACATACCAAAATTGCTAAAATCGATAAAACATTATAAAATCATTATAATCTCTTATAATCTACTAAAACGCTAATATGGATTTAGATAGTAGAGCCCAATATAAGCTAGTTTCTGTAGGCTGTAGTGATGTAAACTTCGAAGAATATAGAAGCATATTAGAAGCATTATGTCTTTTATGTGAACGATATGATCATGAAACATCAGAAATGTGGTGTTTTCATATCTGTGATTCGTTTAAAAAAATACTTGAAGAGAACCCAAGAATTCTTTCTGGGAATGGATATATTACAATGTGTGAAAAATTAATTGAAAGAAGTGATAGAGTTCATGATCTTCTATCAAATTACATATATTGTAATGTATGCAATTCCTTAGTTTTCATACCTGAAAAGGATAAAAGAGTTGATCAATATCGAGATAACCACTTGAAAAGATGTATTTTCAGAAATATTATTTCGAATGAACATGTAAGAAATGAAATTCTCAATTCTATTGATAGAAGGGAATTTCATATCTGGCAATATAACAATACATATTACAATAAGAGGCTAAAATTAATTGTCTTCATCTAGAGTTTTTCTTCCCATCTATGTCACATTCAGAAAAAAATAAATTGGCATCAATATTATATAATTATGATACTTGTTCAATCAGCTATGAAGCTTACCTTTTGGCTAAAGCAACTATAGCAAAAAATACGATACCAAGTGTTCCAAATTTTGAGCCAGCTTGTATTTCTGTTACCTCTGATAAGCAAGAAGTGATTTCATCAACTTCTTATCAATCATCAAATTGCAAAAGTGATACAGGCGAAATATTTATCTCATCTTGGTATGCAAAACAGCCAAAAGATACTATATTGAAATTGAGAGATAGGACAGTAATCACGATTGTCTAACTGGCTTGACTGATTCTGAGAAATATTTTATAACATTTTCTTGATATACAACTTATTCATACATAATTTATTAGACTTTTGCTTTACGTAAAATATAGAATATCAATTATTTTCTCTATTGTCCAGCTATGTGAAACATCTTATGGCCTAGGCATGTGCGACATAAATTTTTGATTTATCTAATGAAATATACCACCTGCAAGTTTATGTAGAATAAAGATTATGATCTGTTTATTCTGGGTTAGATCCTTCAATATATAACGATTATTTTAGGAAGATCAATGAAATGATCTTGAGGATTCTTGATTACAAGACAATATAACTATCAGTTTGAGAATTTCTATGCAACGGTTATTTAGCAAACTTATAGGAATTACAAAAAAAGATCTGAATCTTTGGTAAAATGAGTTTGAGAGACAGTGAGAAATGATGGTACTTCTAACAATAAGAAGTTTTTAGGTATAAAAAATGAATCAGAACAATCAGAATATATTTATTATAAGGATGAGGGACGTTATTATTTAGTAAAAAATGATTAAATATATGAGAAGAGAGCCTAATTATGGTAACGATTATCTTTTGCAACATTTATACTTGTTAAGAAATTATTATATCAGCAAGATTATATAATTATTAGAGATACATATTGGTTTGATATGTTAAAATAGTTACATAATTTCAGATATTATAGTATTCATAAAAAGTATAATTTTATATACTTCATCAAAATTTTAGAATATGAGGCATATAAGATTAAATCATCAGAAATGAAACCTATATGCAATTTGCCGTTAAAATACATATATTATATTTACAGGAAGAATATTACTATAAATTTCACAGACTTAGATGATAATTGTGAATTTGTGTGCTGAATTTTCTAGATCAGACTTTGACCCAAATTCTAAATATTGTATTAATAAAATAATATATCGTTCAGTCATAATGCATGTAGGCATGTACGATATAAATTAGCACGTTTTTGATCCTCATTAAAGTATATATGATGTAATAAGTGATACTCTGCAAATTATCTGTAATTTTATGTGACTGTTTGTATGACAAATTAATTTTCACATATAAGAAATTGATCCCTAAAATATTTCTTTAGCCAAATAATTTTTAGTAGAATAGCATTTACTAATATTTATATTTGCTCTAAAGGGACAGGTTATTTTTATTACATACTAAATAGAATATATTTATATAATGTTGCTGAGTCTTAGTATTAACTATTAAGCGGTCAGGCAAGCGACAAAAGTCTGTATATATATTGTTCTCAATACTTATTCTAAAAGTTGAGATCTTTAATGTATATTTCACATGCTCTTATTTTTGAATACAAACTTTTAGCATAAACTATCTCGCATATTTCTTTTATCTCTTTTACCAATATAAATGTGAGTTAGAGAGAACATGAATAAAAAAGTTATCAGAAATTTAAAAAGGCAGGTGTATTGAATTCAAGTTATTTATTGCTTATTATTTTTTTAGTGAAATTCTAACACTATACTTTCATCATTATGTCTTCATTCATATTATATGAAAATATTTATAATTTTTTACTTGATTCACCCTCAGATCATATTATCACATTTTCTATTATTTTTCAACTAATAGAAGATGATATGTGATATTCAAAAGATAAATTAAGAGAAATAATTTATTAGGCAATTATAGTAGTGAAAAGAATTACGATCAGACTTCAGAAAAATATCTGAAACTTATTGATATTTCCTTGAAGGTTAGTAATTATTACTATTATTTATCAGATTTATAATTCCAGATGATGATTGCGTAAAATGATATTTTTATAACCAGATTAAGTGAGTATCCATAGCTATGTGAGTACAGGTTTAATCATACATATTAATTCCTTAAATATACAGGGTAGATCTTAGTTATAGTTTATGAAGAAAAAAATATAGTATTCATATACATTATCAATTGTATGCAGGTCACATATAGTTGATGATTTACTTGAAATATGTTGATGGGTATGCACACATGATTCTAATATCAAAAGATTAACTATATTAATACTAATATAAGGCTTCTGTGCTAGTTTGATGATACATACAAAGGTATAAGTAGTCTTCAGAATATCAAAGAATTAAAATAAGAAGAACCACTTACTAAGAACGAAATCGAGATGAACTTGTGTGTGTTGAAAACTAATCTTAAAAATAGCAAAGCTCTATATGCTTACCATTTCCATAAATATTTAAAAAAGAAAATTGCTTCAGACTTATCATAGTACATTCCACTTACTAGTCAAGTGATTTGTACAGATTCAGAAATGGTGAGAACTTTGAAAGTAGATGCATATAACTTTTTTTATAGTAAATAATTTAGTAAATAGTATTTGTATTGTCATAATTCACTTTCGACAAGAGTATCATATTAATATTGTGATTCTATAAGATCTGGCAGAGCATATGAAAGTAATTGCTTTAGACCTTATCAAAGATAATTGTGATTCCTTCATTTTGAATTTCATAGATAGTATTACAGATATCCCAAATAATAGACTTTTACATGATAAAAGTTAAAAAGAATCTAATGAAAAACTAGCAAAAATTACGTTAAATATACTTAATATCTTATGAGTGTTTCAGTAATAAGAGCTTTAATGTAATATAATAATCATATTTGTCATTTCTTAAAATTTCTATTTGAAATTACATTTAATATTATTCTTTATAGGAAAGATATTTAGAAAAATCCCACCTTTGGTCCAAAGCTTATTAAGTTACAAAGTAAAGAGACATATATGACTGATATAATAGTTCCAATAATTCAAACATCATTAAAAGATCTTTCAATTGGAAAATCTGGTTATATTTTTACTACTGAGTGTCAAAGTATAACCAGCAAAGATCGAAGTGGAGTTGAAAAATAATCAGATGTTATATTTATCGCTAGTTGTAATAATAGGTCATATGAATTAATTTATGGTGAAAGTTCTCATATCATTTGTGATGAATAAAAAAAGGAAAATGATAGGATAAAAATTTGGAGAAAAATGAATGATGGAATGTATTAGGTTCATAAAGGATGCAAATCGGACAAAGATGATTTTGGTATTATTGAGATCCAAATTGTCAGAACTGAGATACATCTAAATATTCTCATTTGAGATATAGATGAGATATACTATTTTTATAATTTATATACTGTTGAAATTCTGATACAGCTAACAGATAGAAATACAATGTTTAAATTTGTTGAAACTTTATTGAAAATACAGGTATGTAAAATGCAATTCTTATATTTTATTTGCTTAAAATTAACGCATACTATAATTATAGAATATCTTACACATCAATATATCTCTTCTAGATTACACATTTTCAACTAGTTCAAGTAGTAATACAGAAAATAGCTCTACAGTATCTTCTCCACCAAGATTATAATCACCACCAAAAATGAAAAAAAGAAAGTCTATAAAATTCAAAAAAAAATAATCTAATTGTTGTTTGTATTACTATTTTAATAAAGTGTCCTAGTAGATAATTATTTTTACATATTTATCTGTAATTTTTTTCATATAAGATATGTATCTGATAATAAATTTTTTGAATATTAACATATAAAGCATAAATAATACTATATTACACAAGCATGCAATCTGAAATAAATAGATTCAGATTGGCTGATTCATTGAAACAATACATTGCCAAACTTGAGATCAAGAATGGCTGAAAATATTGAGCTTAAGGCCAGAATTGTGAAATTGGAAGATAAGCAATTGCAAAACATATTAATAAAAATATATTATCTGTATCGTGAAAAATATGATTATGTATCAATTTGGCAAAATTTCTTCAGTGTTGGAATACCCCTACTAAAATGATTTTTTCTTGCTAACCAATAGATAGGTGTCATATACATTTTTGATTGAGTTGCAGTTTTCTAGCAGATCTCTTATGACATTAATGTATATGACTATATCTTGGTAGACTTTGTCTATGTGGATAGCAGAATACTCTAAATTCGTCGAATGCTCAAAATTCTTAGATTTTTAAAATTTTTTATTATCTATACAAAATGACTACAGTCAACTCTTGTTATAACGAACTCTATATCCTAAACCTCAACTTTGCTATAAGACTATAGTAAAGATTTTAAAAGATTTAATTGGCTAATTTGTTATAATAAGAGTATTTTTATTATATTTGTTCAAAAAATTCGTTATATTAAGAGTTAACTGTAATAATATGTTTACACCATCTTTTTACATATATTACTCAAAGCAACTTAACCAATTTTCTTGATTCATAAAAATAGATATATGATAATGTTTTATATCTTGAAAATATTCATTATCACTGGAACAGACAAGTGGTATTTACCCTGAAGTAGAAGATATGTTAAAAAATATATTAAGAAAAAAGAGCATCAAAAGATAAAACCTATTACTAGTGATTGTAAAAATTTGTTAAGAAAAGAAAATGAGGAGTTGTGTATATCAAAGCAGGTATTGGAAAAAAATATTGAAGAGCTTCTCGACTTGCAAAAGTAATATAAGTCTCATGAGGTAGCTATAACTAGGTCTTTAGAGAAAAGTCACCTAATTATCAGATTCAGTAACTTTCTTCAAAAGTATAATTCCTGATACGAAAAAAGCTATTGCATCTGCTGAAAAATCCATTGATATGTTAGAGAATAAATGCCAGAATCTGAAGGATATTATTTTTGCTAAAAACAAAAAAATTATCACTCTTGTTGATCAGATCCTTTCTAAAATGAAGCATAGTAATGTGAATATAGAACTGGAAATATATTCTAATACTCATAAAAGAAAATTATAAGTGAAGAGGCATAGTGAATCTGAACATAATCTAGAAATCAGAAAAAAATATACATTTTGTTCTTAGTATCTAAGAAAATTCTACTTATTAATAAGAAGTATATCCCAGCTGACGTGTATCCTATATGGATGCTTATGAAATATAGTTAGATCAAAAACAATGAATTTTTATTCATATAAATGTTTATCAATAATCTTAATCATACTATACTAGTCATTAGCGTATTAACGCACAATTCTGACTAACTCATCTATAGTGTATAACCTGTTAAATAGGCAGATATGTGTGAGATTTTTTTATATTATCTTTAAACAGTCAAAGTAATTCTGCGATACATATATTGAACTGATATTATAATGGCAACCTTCAACAAAATAAGGAATAATTTTCTCTTGTACTTTTTTTAGATCAGCACATATATCTTCAAATATAGCTATTATACTTTTATTTAGAGAAAATGAATCTATCTTAGGGATTTTATCAGGCTTTAAAGCTCGAAATGAAATATTTTTACAATATGGTTTTGGGGTATTAGCAATTTTTGATAAGCCAATTTGAGATACAAATATTTTGGCTTCTTGAGTTAGTGGCTGATCAATAACAAATTATCATTCTTAATATATCTGCTTCTATCTTTCTTTCCATTAAACATCTGATAAAGCTTATGTTCAAGCATAAAATTAAGAACTTTATTAGTTTTTTCAGAATTGGTACGATTACAGATCAGAAGTATGAAAGTCTATTGAGGAATACTGAAATGACCGTTATATTTTTTGGCATCTTTAATCTTATTAATATAGTATACAAGCCTATCAACTGGCTCGAGTTTTTTTATTTTTATGGTAAGCTAACTATTAATAATGATATACTAAAAAATATCAGACTGATTTATCAGTCCTCCCTTTATATCATTCGCTTTATTCAAGAATCATTTCTCGATTAGTATATGTCTAATAAATAAATATAAATCTGCTATATAAGACATTTCAATAAAGCATACATTTTGCTTTTTGTAAATATCCTGCTTCTTCTGATCATACATTCTCTGAGTTTCTAAACTTTCGCTCTCCTGATGACATAGACTGTTGTGATGATAGTATTGGAGATCCTGATATTCGAATGTAAGATATAATTCCTTATTATATCCATTAAGTTGCATCCCGTCCAAAAATGATGATCTGTGAGAAGGAAATTTCTTACCTAATAGATCCTCAAAAATATATTGTATATTTCTTTCGGTAGTATAATGATATAGCGGATACTACTCAAATTTTTTTATAATATATTTTAGTAGACACTCCCATTGGTATGTACTATTTTTGTAGGATCAGAGATAGACATCATGTCTATTTATTTGACCAGTTCTTCCTAGACATTAACTGCCACGTCTTCTGACATAATTAATAGCTTGATCTATTTCTCTATTAATGAGATAGGTAATATATATAGATAATATGCTTTGGGGTGGATACCCAACTTTTTTCAGATCGACTATTAACATGAATTGTTCTTGCATAAACTCCTGCTTTAGTATAAATTTATTACTATTAAGATAATATAAAACTGGTTTATTCTTTATGACAACCACTTTCAGATTTTATGAAGACTTAGATTCCATATCAGATCAGTTGCTTACCTTTGATTTTCTATACACCCTTTTCATTTTACATTGACAAGTAGATAGCGAATAGTATCACCTTTTTTTAATGCTATTTCATCTTTTTTAACTGGACGCTTATATTTTGTAGATGGTCTAGATTTCACTCGATCTAATACAATGGCTTTCACTGATTCAAGTCCTTACTTTTCTGATTCTGGTTCTCAAATAAGATGCGTAAGGTAATTATTTAGGTAATCAACAACTACTGGTATATATCTAACTTATGCTCTTATTAATTCAGGATTAGAAAATATCAATTTAACAGCATACTGGATCTTATATAGAATTTTCGAAAGTGTTTAATTGAAACACTCTACAAATGCAACTCTTCTGTGACTATATGAGCTGACTACTCAAATTGTAACATTATACTCTTGCATTAGTCAGGAGGTTTCACTTATAAATTTACGATCTCTGTTACATTATAAAAGCTTTGATCATGTTAATGAATTATTTTAAGCATCATATATTTTTCTAAATGCTCTAGCAATTTCTAAACTATTCTTAGATGTGAGTGGAACTGAAATCTTATATTGGAAAACGCAGTCTATAATGTTGAGTACTGCTTTATATTTTTTATCTTTATAGTGATCATGAGTGAGAAACAGTATATTGCACTGGTGTATACAATTTAGGCGTGTTATTCACCTATAGCTAACTCTAAGGATATATTTTAGAGAGGTTTTATTTGTTTGGTATGACTCCTAATTTTTTAAAAATCTTTGCATTCACTTAGGCAGAATTAATATCCTTTTTTTTACATGCATCACTTGCCTTAAATGCTTTTAGTAATGATTTATGATTAGAATAATATCTAGTTAGGTGATAATATATATCATGCAATATGATATTTTTTTCAATTCTCTGAGTCTCATCAGGTCTATTAAAATTTGCGGTTGGCTCATTCTGATTCTCTTTTATAATTACAAAAAGAAAGGCATTTTAGAGGCCTCATTCAAGGCAGAAGAATATATGAAGAACATAAAGTTGAGCTAGAGGAGGAGAACTTTTATTTTCATAATGAATTGCAAACAGAAGTTAATAGTAATCATCAGAATAAGAGACAAATTAATCAACTGAAACAAGATTATGTTTGATATGAGCAAGAAATTCAAGATCTTAATAGTAAAATAGAGCGTCTTGAAAATGCTTTAGAAGAAAAAATATCCGAACTGAAGTCTGAAATCTTCAGCCTAAAAAATCAGTTATATCAAATTAAAAAGGATATGTGAGATAAGAATAAATATATCTCTTCCTTAGAAAAGAAAATATTAGAATCTGAAAAACAGGTAAAGAAATTGCAATACCAGATCAGGACCATCTCATCACGAAAATTCACTAGAATGAGGAAATTCTTCAGACTTATATAATTGTGATAATAATATGGTCACAATCTCAGAGCTAGCAAATGTTATAGATAGTTATCTGGATAATAGGAGGTAACAGCTAGAGATATTCTGATAGATCAAATAAAAGGGTAACAAGGCAAATTCGTCAAAAAAAAAATAATCTGCATTAGGATATAGTCTGAGAGCAGAGAAGTCATTAAAACGCAGAAGCTAAGTGTAATAATAAAATTATATGAAAGCAACTTGCTGAAAGGATGAAATAAAGAGCTATTACTGATCTTTATCAGTTGCAAACTAATATTCAGCAATATCAAATTAATGCTCAAAACTAGGTAAATAGAATGATAGGTAATATGGCAAGAAAATAAGCCTATATTGATGAATTATTACGAAAAAATTTTGCTTTTCAGTTATTATATTAATAAAATGCTTACTATTTATAATGATATAGAGCGAATAGGAGTTTGTTAGAATATAATAGAGATAGGCTCTATAAGCAATATGAGAAATAGAAAAATAAGACTCAAGCAGAATGCCAGAATATTTTAAATTTGCAGGCAGAAATATTCGCATTTTAAAACAATCTTCTACATTTAAAGATAGAAGGTTATGCATCAAAAAGATTTTCAGATAGAGCAGATGAAGATATAAATGAATCATATTTGCTGATCTGTGAAATGAAGGACTATACTACTTGTGTTGGTTAATATGATGATCAACATATGGTGGTTGTATATATAAAATGTTATTTAATAAAATAATTCTATCTAAAAGGTATGTATTAAAAAATGGATCATTTAAAGAGCAAATAAATTTTTAGTTATCTGGTGGGGTTATTCATATAAAAACAGTATTATTTTAAATAATTATCTATTATAGAAAAATTTAGAATAATTAATAAAAATCACTTTATATCTTTATGGTTTATTTCGTTACTTAGTAAATTTCTATTTTGAGATTTGGATATGAGACACGACAGATATGATCAAAATAAATAAATATGCATATATAGAAAAATTTTGTATTATAATGTATTGTGTAATAAAATCTCTAAATAGAAATTATATAATATGATATATCATTTCAGTCATATGAAAATTAATCATTTTTTTTTAAAAATAATACTGTCAGATACAGAAATATTAGCGATCAAGAAAATATAGAAAATAAGCTTCAAATTGAGAAAGATTCCACATATTTACTTGATCATAAAATACTTATCGTGAATGCATAAATAATATTACTAAACGTAATTTTAGTTATAATATTATAAAAGAAGAAGTCTACCTTAATGGAATTGGGTTAAAGACGAATAATAAAAATAAAAATCCCAAAAAAGACTATATAAAATTCCATATAATTATGTTATAGAAATAACCTAAGGTCAGGCTACTAAGAAACGAACTGTTTGTTGTGAAATTGATTATATAAATACAATACCTCAATTTCAGATCAAGTATGGCTCTAATTTTCAACATGTTGTTTCTTCAATCAAATCTACAACTGATACAGCAATAAAATATGAACAGACAAGTATTTTATTAAGTAAACTAATTTATTATTACATTAAATTATATAAATTTTATATAAATTTCTATCTAATTAAATTATTTGCTTTATTAGTCGTTAAAACCAGGAACTAAAGTTAAAATTTCAGATCCTTTATTATTTAGATTACAATTAGATAATGTATGAAAAGCGCATAAATCAAGAAAAAGAGGAAATTTAATTAAGCTGGCTATTAACTGTACTTTATCAATACTTAAAAATGTGCTAAGAAAATCGTGACAAAAATACAATCTAATTTTAGGAATAACATTAAGAGAGTTTATCACTAATCTGATTGAGTTATATTAAAAAATGTTGAATTTTCTGTTAATGAAGCAAATTATTTTCAAATAAGTTATGGACCTGAAAATGAAATTAATAAAACTAACTAACTCTGCTCTATAGTAAAAGCAGTTGATCAAGGTCAAATACCTAGAGATTCTTATCGAGAATTAGCAGCTGTGAAGACTCATTTACCATGTGAAAATTCTGTTTCTAATGAATGTATTGCAATCACTAATCACATGAATCAATTAATTAAAATATCATTAATTAATGTAAACAAAAAAAATAAATTGAAAGAAACTTTGGAATCAAATGAATCAGAATTTACAAATTCAGAAATTACTCAAGAGGCTATTAATATAATAGGTATAGATATTTACCAAAATGTAAAGATATTCTCTATTACATTATTTCTCATTTGAAAAAAAAGGAGATATTGAGATCATCAGATCCTACTATTCATTTATGTATTTTCAATAATAGACGTAATATAAGATGTAAAATTAAATATATTATAGTGACATTTATGATTTTAAACCATAAAAAGCGTCATCATCATGCAGATTATCATTATATTATAGTACTATATCCAGAAACGAAGAATTACAATATACTTGAATTTATATTAAAACCATTTCTTGATGAATTGCAATCGTTAAAAGAACATGGATTAGAAGTAGCTAGAATTTTGTGGAATTTTGAGTTATATTTCATTTCTGATTGTAAGTTCTTAGCAATATGCCTTAGATTAAATGGTCTTACATTCAAATATTTTTGTCTTTGATGCTTGTGTTCAAAAGATCAACACAGTAATTTAGATAAAGATTGGCATATTGAAAAAAATATGGAGCAGATTGCGACAAAATATAAGGATGTTAATAGTCATATTTACTCACCCCTCTTTAATATGATTGTTATTAATCATATAATTTTGATAAGCTACATGTTTTTTTATGAATTATAGATCGACTTTAGAAATTAGTATTAGCTGAGATTAAAAAACGTGATTTATTTAATAATTTAACACAAAAAGTTATTATGAAAGAAATGCAACAATTAAAAGTACCTTTTTGTTTTTGGGAAAATAAGGAATCTCATAATTGAGAATATACATCCCTTATGGAAGATGACAAAAAAAAGGTTTTAAAATTCTTTAATTTAGCATTACTTTTTAAACTATTTCGAACACAACTGATTATGAATCTTTGGGATCAATTCTATCAATTATATTATGCATTTCGAAATAATACTACTGATCCAGAATAGTTAAAATATCAAGCGCTTGATTGGCTATTCTTATTTCTTACACTATCACAAGGTGATCCCAATAATTCAAAAACTTTTGTACAAGGATTATATTTACTAAGTCAAATAACTCCTTATATTTATGCACTAGTATATTATGGATGAGAATTTTTGGAAAAAACATAAAAGATAAGAACTTAAAGCATTTTGTGTTCAGCAGTTGAAAAAAAAAACTATAATCAAATTTTAACATTTTTTTTGTAAAACTCTTAAAAATGGTGAAAATTCATTAAAAAAGAAATCTGCAATACAAGAAATTATTGAATATGAAAATTATACACTTTATTTTACTTATAACCTATTATCTGAATCCAAAAAAATCAAAAGACTTCACATTAAATAAAATTTGAATTCTATATATTTTTTTATTTGTTTTTATTTGCAAAAAATTCTATTTTATTGTATATTTTGTAATTGCACAATATAAAAATTAAAATGTATATATCCTGCTGTTTTTACAACTCTATTAATTTTTGCTATTTTTTTTCCATTCAATTAAAATTTCTTCGCGTAAAAATTGTGGTTGTCTAACGCTATATTTTTTAATTATAGATTGTATTAATTATTCAAAAGGATTTATTTCTTCTAGTTGATTTTGTAAATCAGGAATATTCCATAGGATTGGATCTAAATATACAATATATGTCTGTTGATTTTGTGAATAAACCTTCTTTTCCCACTGATCAGAATTTAAAATTTTACTCAAAACTCGATATGCATCATTACCATGAAATAAACATCTATAAATTCCTTTTGCTTTAGAATAATAATGAATATAACCAGCAAAAATAGAAAAAAAAATACTTTTAGGGCATGGTATAGAAAGTAATTTCTTTCCCATAGACCTAAAGTTTAAAGGTAACTTTTTGTGTATTTCTGCAACTAGAATTTATTTAAATTCAATTACAGTATTAACTGGTAATTTGCCTAAACGTTATTGACGCTTATTATATCTTTATACATTTTGTTTATATTATGCTAAACCCTTTGAGTTCTTGAATTCTTTTCTGCAGGTAGGACAAGTGAAGTTATTAGATTGAGATTCTGATGACATGTGTAAGATCTCGCGTTTTTATTTCTTTTAATTTCTAAAATAAAAAAAAATAAAACTGAGTAAGTAATAAACTATTATTATTATCATATTTTACGCTTACTTGCACATATTTCTTACCTGAGAAATTTGATGGATTTTTGAGAGAAGCGATGGGTTTTGCCGTTAGTTTTGTTATTATTTTTTATGGTCATTTGAGGTTATTCATGATAGTATATGATATCACAAGTCAGGTGTTTTGGTAATACATGTGACCATTATTGAGGTCAAATTTGTGATCAAAATCTGGATATCAGTGAATATGTTCATAAAAAATTACAAACTTTATCTTACGACGAATAATATCATTACTATTAATCAGGCTGGCAAACAGAGAGCTTTAGAACTATTTTGTTTATGCTTAACAGGTAAAGCATCATGCTAAGTCAAAGATAAACTCATAGGTAAAAAATAGTGATTAAATCATGTGACTCTTGGCAATAGCTTAGCCAATATGGGCGCTGTATGAGCCTTAAATAATACTAATATAAATAATACTATGATAAATATACCAGATAGTATTCTGCCATTAGTGTTACCAGCTGGAGTTACTGGCATCACAGTTATTTCAGTGCATAATGTTCACACGGATGAGAATTAGTCTCTCGCCAGGGAGTGTTCTGTAGATGCTGATACAGCGACTAATGCATTGAATAGTGCTATAAATAACAATAATCCTATAGTTCTTCCTGATATCAATATTAGCCAGATCATCTATTAGTTTAAAAGAAATTATCCTACAATTGTTCGAGAGCAATAGGAATTGATTTTTGGTACTTTGACTCAAGGTTCTGATTCAGTTAGAAATTATATAAAAAAATAGATAAATATATTAGCTGGGTTTGAATATCTGATCATGAAAAAAGAATACAATTTATACATAACTTATCTCCTAAAAACAAGGTAGAATTGAAGCGACTGGATTTAAACAGACCTTTAAATAATGAATTAATTGAAATATTAGAAGAGATTGAAATGGTAAGGAATAATTTACTTTTGAATGAGGATATTTATAATCAGCCAGCTACTAAGACAAAACCAAAAACGTAGAGTATTACTATCAAAGATGTTGATAAGATTGTAAATAATAGGATTTAGGCATTATAACAATCAGCACCAAATCAATCACTGGTATCTACTTCTGGTTAGAAAAATATCACTAAGGCTGATTTATAAGCCATAGCTAAATCCTTTCAAGAAACTATGCCTTGAGTGAATAAAACACTTAACAATAGTAAAAAATCAGCCAATAAAAAAGGAGAAGACTTTATTATTAAATATTTTTTGATTGATCTAACAAGAGAGAAAGGTAATGTAGCTTCTGACGATGATTATAATTATGATCCTATCAATGATATTACTGATAGTATGGCAGAATTGACATTAAATATGATTATAAATACTGCTATAAAACGTGCTGTTAAGAAGTCATCTTCAAAGCAGAATGTTTCTACTGTGGTAGATCTGAACATAATTTCCAAAACTGCCTTTGAAAGAAGAAAAAGAAAAGCAAGAAGTATAAAAAAAGTAAGGTTAATCTCGCTATTATAGATTTGAATTCAGTTTCTTCTTCTGATACCTCATCTAGCGATAGTTCTGATTTCAATACAAGTTCTTCTGATTCTTCTAATTCTAAAAGTGATATCACTGTCAATATTGCTAAAGTAAAAAAAAAGTGAAGTAGAAGTCTAAGGCTATACTGAGAGAAATTTTTTTAAAGGAAAGTATTTATAAAATTCTTCAAAATGAACTTAAATTAATTTTTCTTGAACGTTTCTCTCAAGACTCTAGTCCTATACAGAAGAAGATAAAGTCTCCCTTTAAAATCTTTAGCCAAAATGATATACTGGCATCTTTCAAAGATTTAATTTCAGATAAGTCTAGTCAAGAGAAGGAGTCTTTAGATAGTCTTATGAAGATTAATTTTATTCAGAAAAAGGAATTGAAGACAAGTGTTATCACTGTAAAGTGCAAAATCTGACGCTTGAAAATTTTAGCTATGATTCTTGACTCTGAAGCTGAGCCACCAATCATAACAAAAAATATTGTTGATTGAGTTAAAGCTAAGATAGATAAATCTGAAAAATATGACCTTAGTGGTGTAGCTACTGTCCTAATTAAATTTATTAGTGTTATTCACAATCTACCTATTACTTTAGCTTCTGGATATACCATTCATGAAGATTTTGTAGTTGTAGATTATTACAAGTTGACACTAATATTTTCTAACCAACTTTTAAAGAAATATAGATGCGTAGTGAACTGAAATACAAATGAGTTAAAGATTCCTTTCAATAGAAAAGATTATATTATTCCTATCATTATGCACAAAGTCAAAAATAAGCTCGAGATGAATTACGCTGTCACCGTGGAATTCTTCAACTCAGGGTGATCACGTTATCAAGTCTCTACTCGAAATTTCTAACTGCGGTTTACTG